ATATATATATATATATACACACACACACACACACACACACACACACACACACACACACACAAAATGATTCGAAAGTCTTACAAATTTTAATCATATTGTATTCTATTTAAGGATATTTTACGATATCGAATTTGGCAGAGTAATTGATGTTCTACAAGGACATGAAGATGCTGTATCGTGTTTAGCATGGAGTTCTACTCATCAAGTGATTATATCTGGCTCGTGGGATTGCACTGCAAAAGTTTGGCATGAGTACACTTCTGGACCAAAAATTAAACTTACGGAATGCTTTATCGCACAATTAGATCACGATTCCAAAGTAATTTGTATTAATATATCAAGGTTAGATATATCTCACTTATGTGCAATAATATACACGATATATTACTGTTTCATATTTATAAATTGAATAAATTCTTATACCCCGATTATGTAGAGACGACACTATGTTAGTATCTGGTACAGAAGATGGCGAATTATGTTTATGGAATATGAACAGTTATAATTTACAATCAACTATTAAAGGTAAATGTATTTTTTCCCTTATTTTCATGCTATGCTTAAAATTATTAAAAACGGCCATATTAAATATATAGTTGTAATAAATACTTGAATAAAAAATTGCAATGAGATATAAGTTTATACAAATCTTTATAAGATCTTTTTATATCTTTCATATCTTCATGTTTATTTAATCGTAGGCTAGAAATGTGTCCAGTATTCCTACGATAGATTTACTAATTTTATAAGAACTCTATATTTATAAATAATATTTAATGTATATCGCTAACATGCAAACATTAATTCTTATTGCTTTTTAGTTATATTTTATGATTAAAAATACTTTTTAAGGTTCTCTATTATCATTAATATCTGTTATTTATTGTATAAAGGTCACACATGCAGAGTAAACGCTGTAACTTTCGATAAACAATGCAGCAGCGTCATATCATGTGCAGAAGACAAAGTATTAAATATAATCGATGTTCGAACAAGTACACAGATATATTCAGTCAGTTTAGAAAGCGAACCATTGACATTAACATGGATGGGAATGTTCTTGCTAATAGGCGATAACGATGGAAATCTTAATATCTGGAATCATCAAGAGGCTGTATTCATTTCGCAAATA